TTGGGCTCAAAAGACAAGGATTGACCAATAAAAGGACCCTTTTGGCATTGAAAGGATTGAACCCTTTTACCTTGCGCATTCTGAACGCAGAAGATACGGTTCGATGGAAAAATCTGAAAGAAAGTTCCTAGAAAATCCTTCAAGAACCGTGCTACCCGTCGATAGAACGTTTCACCAGAACCAAGAGGTATTTGGTTCAGTCCCGGTTGAGTCTCTCGCCTTTCTTCCTTCCGAGTTTCATAGATCACTTCCACTCTGTATTTACACTAAAACCTTCCTGGCTGATGGCATGGAAATGTAGATCAGCGCCGCAACATCATCATCATGAAAAGAAGGACGGCAGAAATGGCCCAATCATGAAAGTGTATGAGGGACCGACATCTCGGTAGTTGCAAATTATCCCCTTTTTCTACTTCCTTCCTTTGAAAATGGGCAAATGACGATTTACTCTCTGTTTATGGCTTCACCGAACTTTCGATGACAGCAGCGCCAAGCATGCGGTAATATTACGGTTTTGGCAACCACCACGTAAAGGAAAATCAGTTGATTGCAAGCATACAGGGTAAGGTCGGTGGAACGGGTTTAGCTGATCGGTCACCGTATGCCTGTAGTCGACAGAGTTCGGTTCAATTTAATGCGGTTAGTTTAAGCGCCTTCTAAAGCACATATCACGTTCCTTTTTTAGACAAGGCAGCACGAGAAGTAAATACATAATTTATCATTGTTTATCCCAGATTAATGATGTTGGGATATTAATCATAGGAAGGAAATCTTCGGATTACATTAAGCATTCACCGCTTCGTGAAAGGTCTTATGCTTTATCGCGAGAGATCAGCTACTAATAGGTTTTGCCGGCTTTTAAACCGCCTCCCTTCCTTTTATGTCCCGTATTCAGCTCCAATTAAAGGAACGTTTTTTTGACGGCATCTGATGTTTGTGCCATTCTATCACACCAAGACAGTAGTTCTTCAAAAAGCTTCTTCAACTTGGCGCTTTTGAGTATGTTGTCGTTCGTTATTCGATGATTCCCCCGGGTTTAGCGATGTGCTCAAGCAAATGTGGAGGTTGAAAAGAATGAAACAATTAGGTCACAAAAGAATTACTTGACTTTAATAGAAAACGAGAAAGCATGAAACAATAAATACACGTAAATAAACTGAATAATTTTTTCTTAAAAAATAACCCCAGGCCTTTGCCAGTTACCGCCTTTGAATTTTCTTCCTCAATAATAACATTGAAACGGCGGTAAAGCTATTCGAGGTCCAACTGTCGAAGCACCAGATGAAGTTTAAAACAAAGTTTTATCTTTAGTGTTTCTAATAGTTCTTTGACACTACTAAAAGTAAGTCTAGAATCGAAATTCAGTTTGATCGCAAATTTGTCCGCAAATTAATGAAGCTCTTAATAGAAGACGCTGCATCTCTGAGAACTCTAACTAAAGCCGTTAAAACTAAGCAGTGACATTATAGTTAAGAAAACTGATAAAAACAATGCCAGGTTGTTATGATCAAGATACAGTGTCCAGCAAATGTCACGACGTACTCATTACGACGTGTTTCTTCTCGCCTAGATGAATATCCTGCCTCCGTTCTTCCCCATGAAATTCGAGCATATCTGCACTGGACTGTTCAAAACGATCGATCGTGTAGATCCCAAGTTCTTCAGCTATACAGAAACACCTTAAATTTAACTGTAACTACCTTAAAGCACACTTTTACTGTTTGCCCCAAAGACATAAATGCATTGTTTTCCTCAGACCCATTATGCCTACGAACTGCGTTGTCGCATATGTCTCGAAATTGACTGCGAAAATACTCTCATTCTTAACTGGAAGAAACCCGCCATACACCGAAACGTTTTACTGGTTCTGCAAGCATCTGAAACGCTTAAC